GCGGCTCGGCTGCAGGGCAGGGCCGGGACGGCGGCGGCGGCGGCGGCTGTCATACCGGCTGCTGCGGACTCGACGGCAGTAGTAGTGACGACAGCTGCTGCAGGTCACGCCCCGGTGGCTGCTGCAGTTGGAAGGCCGCGACGGAGGGAGGGACAGGGCGGGGCCGCGACGAAGGGGCGGCAAAGCCGCAGAGGCCCGCGCCTGCCGGTGAGCTGGCCAAGCGGGCCCGCCACGACGGCAGGGCGGGTCGCAGCAAGGCAGCGACGGGCCGCGACGGGCCGCGACGGGCGACGTGGCCGCGACTAGCGACGGGGCGGGGCCGCAACGAGCAACGGAGCGGGGCCGCGAAGGGGCCGCAACTCGCGACGGGGCCGGGCTGCGACGAGCAACGAGACGGGGCCGCGAAGGGGCCGCTAAGGGGCTGCGAAGGGGCCGCGAAGGGGCCGTAAAGGGGGGGGCGCGACGGGCCTCAAGAGCAGGGCAGGCCGCTAAGGGGCCGCGAAAGTTTAGGGTAGGGAAGAGCGCGAAGCGCGCTTCGGGCAGGTTAGGAAAAAAAAAAATCGATGGTGGGCCGTAGGAAGAAATGGTCCCACTAGGGAACCCGCTCAAAACCATGTCAGAATCCCAACCACTAGACCATTGGGATAAAAGGGCTTGTTTGTGTAGCGGGTAAGTGCGCCCATAACCCCCCAGGCCAACGTGCTTGTAACCCTTCCCTAGGATCAATCGGGGATCTCCAGTGGACCTCTGACACCCCCCCGCACTGGGATGCGCGAAGTGCACACACTGGGATTCGAGCCCGAGACCTTCACTCTTATGCCATGTGAAGAAAGAGGAATGAAATGACTAGGAAACAAGTGGGTACAAGTAGGAAACCTAGAGGTGGTGTACCCTATAGTGTCTACCCCACTACAGCCTAGATAGACTATATCATATAAGTTTGACATCGTCTTCTACTGGCCTTACTCCACCTCTACTGTGTCCAGAGCATGACCAGTTGCAGCCACAGTTACAGCCAGACTCCCCACTGCTTGCTCCTTTTCCTTACACTAAGCGGTCGGTCTCTCTTACAGAGCGGCGTGAGCCTGAGTCGCGTCCGCCTCACCTGTTCGCGCAGCTCGCACTAGTGGGCGTGTTCCTCGTGAGCGTCCTCCCTCTGTCCCAGCCACTCGCACTATGGCACTTCGTCCTTCCTTTGTTCCACTGCAAGTTCCCCTGCCGTCTCCTCCTGCGTCCTCTCTTGCTGATAGTCCAGACCCTGAGTCTGACTTGGTTCGTGCTGCCATTCCTATGGTCACACGTCTTCTCGCCACTGTTGTCACCGGCCCTTCGTTTGAGTCCATTGTTGCGTCTGCCCTAGTTGCTGAGCTTGTTGACTTTGCTGCTGCGACTCGTCTCGACTACGCCGCTAGTCTTGTTGCTGAGTCTGAGTCTGTCTGTCCTCCGTCCGACGGGGGTGAGTGTGCTCTTAGCACGGACGCCCTTGAGGACAGGCAGGAGGACTTTGAGTGTCTTGCAGCTGCTGTACCTCATGTCATGGCCATGCTGCTTGCACCTGAGGGAGACCCAGATGCAGTGGACATCTCGACCCCGCGCTCTTACGCAGAGGAGATTATGGGTCCCTACCCATCTCAGCGACAGACAGCCATGGACGTAGAGATGGCATCCTGGAAGTCCACACGCACATACGTCCACGCAGTTCCCCCTCCTGGGGCGAACATAGTCGATGGCATGTAGATTTTCAGGGTGAAGCGGCCGCCGGGTTCTCCACCTGTCTTCAAGGCTCGTTACGTTGCACGAGGCTTTAGTCAGCAACAGGGAGTTGACTACTTCCAGAACTTCTCCCCTACCCCGAAGATGACCACTCTTCGGATGCTGCTGCACGTTGCCGCTCAGCGTGACTACGAGCTTCAATCTCTTGACTTCAGCACAGCTTTCTTACAGGGCAGCCTGCACGAGGAGATCTGGCTGCGCTGCCCACCTGGCTTCACAGATTCGTTTCCTGCAGGTACCCACTGGAGCCTCCGGCGGCCAGTCTACGGTCTTCGCCACGTGCCCCGTGAGTGGCACGACACATTGAGGACGACACTTGCGGCTCTTGGGTTTTCTCCTTCAACTGCTGACCCGTCGTTGTTTTTGCGCATCGACACTTCGCTGCCGCTGTTCTACATCCTCGTGTACGTCGACGACTTGGTTTTTGCCACTGCTGATACTAAGGCAGTGGCCCTTGTGAAGTCGGAGCTGCAGAAGAGACACCCGTGTACAGACCTGGGTGAGATGCGCAGCTATCTTGGCTTGCGGATCACCCGGGACAGAGCACGGCGCACCATCACTCTGACTGAGTCACAGATGGTGCACCAAGTCCTTCAGCGCTTCGGCTTCCAGTTCTCCTCGCCACAGTTCACTCCTCTGCGTACCGGTCACTCGCTCTCAGCTCCACCTTTGGACGAGTCCGTAGAGCCAAGTGGCACGTATCCAGAGCTTGTGGGCTGCCTCATGTACCTGATGACCTGCACTCAACCTGACCTTGCCTACCCTCTTAACATCCTGGCACGCTACGTTGCGCCTGGGAGACACCGACGAGAGCACTGGAGGCCGCTAAGAGGGTGTTGCATTACTTGTGCAGTACACCGGGCATGGGGCTCGTGCTTGGAGGACAGGGTCCAGTTGTCATCACTGGACACGCAGACACGTCTTGGGTTGGCGACTGGGCTACGCAGCGGTCGTCACAGGGTTACACCTTCAGCCTTGGCTCCGGCTCTGTTTCTTGGCGGTCTACCCGCTCGTCTTCTGTTCTCAGCTCCAGTTGTGAGGCTGAGATCTACGCAGGGGCCATGGTTGCACAGGAGTGACGCTGGCTCACCTACCTGTTGACTGACTTGGGAGAGCGGCCTCGTTCTCCTCCAGTTATGTACGTAAACAATAAGGCCATGATTGCCTTGTGTTAGGAGCACAGACTGGAGCACAGGACGAAGCACATTGCTCTACGTTACTTCCTTGCTCGAGAGCTGCAGTAGTGTGGTCAGCTTCGTCTTGCTTACGTGGCCATTTGGGCCAACACTGTTGATATATTCATCAAGGCACTTCAGTCTGGTGATCATCAGCGTTTCTTTACTGCTTTGGGCCTTCTGCCTGCTTTGTCTCACTTGCTTATTGCGTAACTTTGCTTGTACTATGATCTATATAAATATACATATATATGCGTGCATGCTTACGCTTGCTAGGTTGTGATCACTGTACTGCTTGTTTCCATTTATATAACTCTGCATGTGAACTGGCCTTGTGGCCATTTTCTTGTGCTTAGAGTGTGTGGTGGCTTTGTGATCCACACAGAGCTTGCTTCCTTTTCTTGACTGGTGTTTTGACCCCTTGTTCTCCCCCACTTTGCCTATGGGGGTGTGTCAAACTGTTATAATGTTTAGGTTGTGTGGGCTGTAGTGGGGTAGCCCATAAGGGGTTTTTAGGTTGTGTAGGCTGTAATGGGGTAGCCCGTAAAGGGTACAACCCAATATGGGTTAGTACTTGTACCACCTTTCTGTTCAATGCATTCATTCTCGCTTAGTCTTCAGACACAAATTTCTGGTCGACCAACTTTAGAGGAAAGTTCTGCATGTGCGAGAATTTTGCCCCAGACGGTTTTGGCAAAAAGCTACATGCGGAACGACATCATATGCTTTATAACATATCACATGCGCAATTTGCATCTCGTGTACAACGTGCACGTAATTTCTGTTGCGCAACCTACACATGCTTTGGTAGGCGATGCACATGTGCGAATGCTTCAGATACGGCTGCAGCACCGGTAAGCCGCCTTTCTGCTACGATGGCAAGCCGCCTTGCTGCTGGGTGATAAACTCTGCAATTGCTTTCTGTAGTATATCGCCATTGCGTGTCAATGTATGCTTGTTGATTCCTCTTTCCAATTGACTCTCTTGTCGATCTTCTCCACGAAACGCAACGTCTTGTAGAAGCATATGCAACACTACGATGACCTCGTACTTGACTCTCCGCAACGTAGCACTTTGTGCATGGTTGTTATTTGGGCACGTCTTTGATATTTGAGAGATAAATTCTGTAATTAGCCATTTTCAAGACCGTAGATATGTTCTACTCCCCAAACCCCCCCAATCCCCCCTCCCCACCCTCCCCAAACATGATGATTTTTTTGCTAATACCGTAGTTATCTGTTTTTGTCCTAAGGAAAAACCAGGCCACGTACTTCCTTAGAGCGCTTCAAGGCAGGGTCACGTAAAACTTGGATGCAGCTGGGCCAAGATACACAGACCCTGACAGTAGCCGAGGTGGCCAAAACAATACCCTGTTTTGTAGGGTAAACTGGTACAAAACCCTACAAAGGATATGCCTGGTTGGGGAAAACGTTTGGTTTTTTGGCATTCCAAGCGTCACAATTCTACCAGCGAGAGTCGCCACCATGAATTGACGAGGTGCTTGGCATGGTCGCTGAAATCTGGGTAGTTTTTGCAAACCAGCCCGAGTTTCGCGGCACTTCGCAATATCGGAGTAACATCATCCCATGTTTCGGCTCGGCCAACCTGTTTCGCAAGGAACCCCACGCCCATCGCCTCCAATCCAGTGAAATTGCCGAAACGGTTCCCGTCACTCGCAACTGTCGCCTTCACAGTGCGCTCCGTCCAGTTCGATGGCTCACCTGTGGGGAGCGTCGACGGAAGCAGAATCGGTTCTTGCTGGCTTCCAGCAGAATGCAATTTTGACGGTAGATCCACGAAATTATCTTGCTGATCACAGGAGACTCTTCTTCTGGGCGCTCTCGTCGCAACTTAGTAAACTCGTCTGCTCCTCAGCTCTGCAACAACCAATTCTGAGGCTTCTCTGGAAGCATCGATGGTCCACAGCAGCCTCGCACATGTCGGCTAGAAAGACCCACTTTAGTATAGTATGCACATGATACTTACTGGTTTTATTCATACCGTTAAAACCGGAGTCCCAAACAGCCCCAAAGTGCCTCTCCAGTAGAAGCCATGCCGCCTTTTACGACCCCGAGGGCCGACGCGCGTCGCCATCAGCAGCTACAGCAGCGGCAGCGGAGTCGCGCGCCGTGGCTCGCCGGCTGGAATCGCCAGTGCCTCGCTGCGATCAATCTAGACGTCGCCTGGGCGCGCTTCGTCAAGGCAGTCGGCCGGCGGTTAGAGCCCCCAAACCGGCCGGCTAAGTTCGGTTACTATGCCGGCTGTTACGGCTGCCTAGCCGGCGTGGCGCTAGTCTGCGCGCTTCTCGTCGTCCTCCCGCTCATTCTCCAGCGCCGCGCGTTTCTCTCCCCTTCCGCCTTGCGCGCCGCGTCATCCATCGACCGCGAGGCGCTGGCGCTGGCGGTGGAGCGGCGCGGGCCGTACATCGACTCCGCTGACATCAGCGCCGCATCCGCGTGGCCCTCCGCGCTCGACGACCTGCCGCCTCCCCGCGATGCTTCCGCGCGCGAGTCAGTCGCGCGCGGCGAGGGGGGTGCGGGTGGCGAGGTGGTGACAGGGGGGAAAGGGGAGGGTGAAACGCGGGAGGAGGAGGGGGGGTTTCTAGGGGGGAAACAGCAGGGGACAGGGGAGCGGAGAAGGGGAGGGGAAGCGGAGGGGGGCGCGGAGGCAGCGTGTGCGACAGGAGGCGCGGGGTGCCCGTACCCCGACATTGTCGTGCGCGCCAAGGTAGGGGCCTTCCAGGGTAGGGGCCTTCCAGGTTAGGGGCCTTCCATGGTAGGGGCCTTCCAGGGTAGGGGCCTTCCAGGGTAGGGGCCTTCCAGGGTAGGGGATGTAGCCGTTTGAGGCAGGGCGGGGTTTCAGACAGGTGAGCTTCTTACTACCAGGGTGGGCGTGTGGGCGTGCAGTGGAGTGTGCAGTAGCGTGTGTGCTCGCACGCATGACATCCCACGGCACTGCACGCTGCACTGCAGAGCCCTTTCCTTCCCATGCACTGCACCACTCATCGCCCGCGTGAAGCTGCTCCTCCTCTGCACGCCCCCGCTTACACCCCCCCTTCGCCTCCCCTCCCCACACACCCCCCCCCCCCCTTCGTTCTCTCCCCTTTTTCCTCCACTTTCCCCCTTTCCCCTCCCCTGGGTCCACTGCGTGTGCGCATGGAGGCGGTGTGTGCAGACGACGCCATCACACAGCTGCTTCGCTTCCCTCTCCTATCCACTTTTCCCAACGCCCCTCGCCTTTCAGCAGCCATCACGCAGCTGATCTCTAAATACCCCTCCCCTTCTCCGTTTCCCTCAACTCGCCTCCCTTGCCCTCCCCTTCCCTGCCCTCCTCGCGCCAGGGTCCACTGCATGCGCGCATGGAGGCGGTGTGTGCGGGGTACGCCATCACGCAGCTGCTCGCCATGAAGCTCTCCCCGCCCGTCGTTGACGCCGTCGGTGTCCCCCACCCCCACAGCCCCCATGCTGGTTCCGCTGGCGCTACTGGCGCTGCGGGTATGGATGCTGCCGCTGCTGCTGCTGGCAGCAGTGGGGGCAGCAGCAGCAGCGGGGTGGTGGAGGGGCCAGGGGTGGGAGAGGAGGGGGTGAGGCAGCTACGGCTGGCGGTGCTGTGGCAGCCGGACAGCGGTGTGTGGGACGCGCACTTCCACCACCTCTTCCACCCGCTGCCGCTCTCGCCCTCCCTGCCTGACGACCACGACGCACCGCTCAACGGGTCACACAACGACTCACGCACTGCGGGTGCAGCGACGGTGACGGTGCTGCATGAGAAGCCGCTGTGGCTGCACTCGCCACACTACGCTGAAGGAGTGAGTCGCGCTTGCTGTCGTGGGGTGGGGTAGTTAGGTGATAGGCTTGCTTCAGCACCGACACTGCCTGCCTATCATTGCCTCTCTATGCTGATGGCGAAAGCTGGTTTATCTGAGCAGGTGCGTTGGGAGGGAAGCTTGAGCAGGTGCGTTGCGTTGCAGCACCTGAGCCTCATCCCTCTGCTGCCTGCCTGTCCTCTTTGCCGCTGCAATTCTGTCACTCTCCTCAGGACAAAGGTCAGGCCCTTGAGACATCCTTCTCCCTCTCACCCTCCGTCTCACTCCCCACCCGTCATCCCACCTGTGCCACGTCAGAGGCTCGACCTGGACATCGTGCCAGCTCCAGCACAGTCTCCGCCACGTCAGCAGCCACCTCAGCAACCACAGCCGCAGCCGCAGCCGCAACCACAGCCAGGCCATCCGCAGCCGCAGCACAACCCGCACGGGGCACAGCAGGCGCCGTGGCTGGTGGAGCAGCCGCCCATCCCCTTCTCCACCCAACCTCACACTACTCGCCGCCGCCTGCTGGGCACTGGCGCCAACAGGGTGGGCACTGGCACCGGCACTGGCAGGGCGCGCTCCTCCCAGCAGCTCAGCAGCGGCCGCCTGGCCTCTGCCCGCCTGCTCTTCTCGCCTCCTGGGTCCTCCCCTTCCGGAGATGAGCCTGGCACGCAGATCAGTGGCGGGCAGAGCAGTGCTGGTCAGAGCACTGGATGGGGGCAGAGCACGTCACGAAGGCGACTGGCAGAAGCGGCAGGAGGCAACACAGGAAGCTCAGGAAGCACAGGTGGTAGCAGTGGTGGCGGTGGCAACACAGTGTCTGTGAGCCTGCATCTGCTCTCGTCCCTGCGCAGTGCTGCTACAAGCATGGAGGTGGTGAGTGCATGGGGTGTAGCAACGGTGGTCCACTGCTGCAGTGCAGTGCAGTGCAGGCATGTAGCCCTGAGAAAGGCCAATGGGTGCCACCCATCCGTGCTTCATATCGCTCTACCCTGTCGTCTCTGGTCGTCACTGACTCACCACCCTCTCTGCACCACCCTCGCATAGCTGCATGCTCTCCCTACCTCACTGCTCTCCCTACCTCACTGCTCTCTCCGCCTCACTGCTCTCCTCTCTCCCACTGCAGGCACCAGGCTCAGAGGAGGCGATGGAGCTGCAGGCGTCCATGGTGGAGTGCTATGGCATGCTGCAGCCCTCGCCTGCCGTGCACGAGATAGTGGCACGGGAGAACCTCACTCACGTGCGCCACAGCACCGCCGTCTACATGGAGGTATGCTGCCAGAGGCCGTGATGCACGCAGATTACCCACAGGGTGTCAACAGGCATGGCGCCTGAAGCGTGCATAGGGAGGTACCTAGCTGGTATGTCTTCTGTGAGCCGTCTCCCCACACTGTACCGTCTCTCACACTGTGAGTCATGCTCCGCCTGTGTGCCCCCGTTGTTGTGTCCCTTCCACTTTCTCCTCATCCTTTCCTGACCCCACCCCAGCCAGTGCTATCAGGGTGCACGGGCTGTGATGTCAAGCAGTTGGTCAACTGCACGGCGCGGCGCCTCATGTGGCTCTTCCTCGCGCACCCCGCCACCGCCACCACGCTCGCCGCCTTCTGGCCCTCGCAGGCCCTCGCCGTCGCCCACACCTTCCACCCCGCGCGCCAGCCGCACCTCCTCCGCACCACTCTGCACCGCTCTGAACAGTGCCGGCCGAACCCCCAGCGTGGGGAGATGGCACCACCGCCCATCGTGCCGCACCCGTGGACGCCCAAGCAGATCGTGGAGAAGCGGCACCGCGCTGACATGGCCAAGAACGTGAGCCGCGCCGACGCTGCTGCTGCTGACGTGGCGATGAGTGTGGCGAGCAGGAAGGAGCGCAAGGAGTGGCTGGATAAGGCGGTGCAGGAGCAGCTGCAGGCGGAGAAGCGGAGCGCGCGAGGCACGGGCGAGGGCGGAGGGGAGGAGGGGAGCGGGGCAGGAGCAGGAGAGGAAGGAGCGGGGGGAGGGGAGGGAGGGAGTGCGAGCTTGATTGCAGGTATGGACGGGCCAGATGGAGGGGGAGAGGCAGGCGGGATGGACGCGAAGGGCGATGCACGGAGGGAGCGAGTGCTGGAGTTCTTGCAGAAGATGTACGGGCCGGGCATGGGGGCAAGGCAGATGGGGAAGACGGAGGGCGAGCAGCGGCGGCAGATCAGGGCAATGCTGAAGGAGCTCATGGGGCGGGACTGGAAGACGGTGCTGGAGGGGGAGGAGGAGGGCGAGAAGGAGGGCGATGGGGATGGGGAGGGGGCGGGGGAGGGGGAGGGCAAGCCAAATGTTTTCAGTATGGTGCGATTGCGGCGGTTGCTGCAGTCTGAGGCGGGGGAGGATGGTGAAGAGCTGGGGGAGGTGAATGAGTCACAGCAGGAGGAAGGGAGAAAGAAGGTGAAGCAGCGTGAGCAGCAGCAAGGCGAGACACGGGAGCAGCAGCAAGGCGAGACACGGGAGCAGCTGAGGCAACACATGGAGCTGGCGGAGAGAGAAATGGCTGAGAGGGAATCGAGGGAGAGGGAGTTAGTGCAGAGGGAGTGGGAGGTGCTGGACGCGAAGCAGCGGTCCATCCGGTGCTCCCAGCTGGAGGCGGCGGAGCTGTTCGCGCTCTCCCACGCGCCGCGCCTCATCCACCTCCAACACTCCCCCCAGGCCGACTTCCTGCACGCGCAGGCCATGGCCAGACGCGCCCAGGAGGCTTCACGGGCTGCGAGTGGGGCTGCGGGGAGGGGGGAGCGGGGCGGCGGGGGGTGGGTGGGGGCGATGGCGGAGGGCGTGGAGCGCGGCGAGGAGGTGGCGCTGGTGCGCGAGGAGGCTGTTTGCCAGGCACCGTCAAGCAAGCCCATCACGAAGCACCGCATCGGGCACCAGCTGATCGTGGATGGTGAGGGCTGGGTGGGAGGGGGGGTGGGTGGTTGGGATGAATGGTTGCAAGGGATGAATGGGAATGAGATGTGTATGGTTTGCAGTGGATTCTGCTTGTGCTGTGTGTATGTAGATATATGACTTAGTGTAAGTGCTCACTACAAGACTGTTTGTGAAACAGGCATGAGCAAGCTGGCATACATGGATGTCATCGCCCTCCTCACCTCACCTCACCTCACCTCACCTCACCTCACCTCATGTCAGGCGAGCGGACATCCTCTCCCTCCCGCCTCCCTGCACGTGTCAGCATCACCTTTCCTGCACGTGTCAGCATCACCTTTCCTGCACGTGTCAGCATCACCTTTCCTGCACGTGTCAGCATCACCTTTCCTGCACGTGTCAGCATCACCTTTCCTGCACGTGTCAGCATCACCTTTCCTGCACGTGTCAGCATCACCTTTCCTGCACGTGTCAGCATCACCTTTCCTGCACGTGTCAGCATCACCTTTCCTGCACGTGTCAGCATCACCTTTCCTGCACGTGTCAGCATCACCTTTCCTGCACGTGTCAGCATCACCTTTCCTGCACGTGTCAGCATCACCTTTCCTGCACGTGTCAGCATCACCTTTCCTGCACGTGTCAGCATCACCTTTCCTGCACGTGTCAGCATCACCTTTCCTGCACGTGTCAGCATCACCTTTCCTGCACGTGTCAGCATCACCTTTCCTGCACGTGTCAGCATCACCTTTCCTGCACGTGTCAGCATCACCTTTCCTGCACGTGTCAGCATCACCTTTCCTGCACGTGTCAGCATCACCTTTCCTGCACGTGTCAGCATCACCTTTCCTGCACGTGTCAGCATCACCTTTCCTGCACGTGTCAGCATCACCTTTCCTGCACGTGTCAGCATCACCTTTCCTGCACGTGTCAGCATCACCTTTCCTGCACGTGTCAGCATCACCTTTCCTGCACGTGTCAGCATCACCTTTCCTGCACGTGTCAGCATCACCTTTCCTGCACGTGTCAGCATCACCTTTCCTGCACGTGTCAGCATCACCTTTCCTTCGTGCCTCTCCTCACACCCCTCCCCTCTGCGCCCCTGTCCCATGGACCCCCACCAGAGGGCATAGGGTTGCTGTACTGCTGGGTGCCCAAGGTGGCGTGCACGAGCTGGAAGGTGTGGATCCGCCAGCAGCACCACGACAGCCACAGCAACGACCTGCTGTCAACGCACCGCCCCTTCGCCTCCAACATCACGGAGCTCTGGTACGCGCTGTCGGAGCCGGCAGCCATCCGCGCCGTGACGCGCCCCGACCTGCTGCGCTTTGTGTTCGTGCGGCAGCCCTTCGAGCGCATTGTGTCCGCCTACCTCAACAAGCACGTGGCGGGCGGCGGGCCCGACGGATGGGGGCGCAAGTTCTGGAATCTGGTGAGTTGGGGTCGGCTGCTGTTTGGGTGCTTCTGTGGTTGGATGATGGGGAGACAAAGGCAGTGGAGAGTGTGTGAGGGGTGCTGGTACAGGCCAAATCCCAGTCTAGAGGCACTGGTCGCTCATACGTGGGGCAGAGGGGTGCTGTTCATGTAATGACGCTCTTGTTGTTCACCGTGGGCGCGATTCAGGGTTAAGGTTCAGCGACTGATGGTTGTGGTGTGCGCCTTTCAAGCCCTGCCTCTAATGCATCTACACCCCTACTTGGCCCTCCTCTTCCTTTCTCTCTCTCCTTCCTTGCATCCCCATCCACTGCGTCTCCCCCCGTTGCAGAACTTTTTCGGGCATCTGGCGTACTTCAGGCAGATGAACAACCGCACGGGCGGCAACTTCACGTTCCCGGAGTTCGTGCGCCTGGTGGAGTACGGCATGCGCTTCGACAGGCGCAAGAACATGGACAACCACCTCGCCCCGCAGGTGGGATGCACGCACAGCAAAACCACCTGGCGACTGGCGACTAGAACTCTTTCAAAGCGCAAGGGACGGTACCTCTCTTGACCGTGTAGCAGCTGTTGACCACCCCTGTACATGAAAACACGTTCTCTCCCAAGTCCTCATTAAAATGTTTCTATGCATCCATGTTTTTTCCCTCCCACTGGCTTGTCCCTACCACTCTCTCCCATGTGACCAAGACTGCATGCGTTGTAACTTGTGTGGGCCGTGTGGAAATCCCCATGTTATCTGGAAAGTCTTAGAGCGCCTCATGTCACCCCCCTCCCTTGATTGCATGCACACTTCACCTTCTCGCCACCTTTCCCCCTCTCTGCACCACACATCCATCACATCCACACATCCATCACTCCCTCTCTGCACCTTGCCCACACAAAGTACGTTCGTGCCGGCTTCCACAGTGCACAACAACGCTAGGCCCTTTCGTCTATGTTCTTGAAACCCTGAACCCGCGCTATGGTCCCTTGCTCCCGCACCCACCCCCTCCCGCCAGTCGCTGCTGTGCGGGCTGGACCGAATAAGGTACGACCTGGTGGGGCGGTTTGAGCGCATGGAGGAAGACGTCAAGGCCGTCATGACGCGCCTGGGCCGCCAGCCGGGCGATGCGTTTGACTTTGGCAAGAAGATCCACCCCACCAAGTCCAGAGACCAGCTGCTGCAGCTCTATAGTGACGCTGTGAGTGCCCCCGCAGTCCCCCGACTGCCCTCTCATGCCCACTGCTTTGCTGCTTCCAGGTTGCTTCCAGGTTGCTTCCCAATTGCTTTCGTGTTGCTTCCACCGAAGGTGCCACGTTAAAGCATTGCTGTGTGTGATCGTGCTCTCTGCTGTGCTCTGCCCGCACGCCGTCACTGCCATCACCCACCTTGGGATCCCCCATGCCTCCTCCACCTGTCACCATGTGTGCATCGCCCATGCAGGCCACATACTTGAAGGTGAAGAGCACGTATCAAGCGGACATGGACGAGGCTTTAACGCCGTCCACCCCTCCTCCCCTTCCCCTTCCCCTCCCCCCACTACCATGCAGGCGACATACTTGAAGGTGAAGAGCACATACCAGGCGGACATGGAGGAGCCGTTCAACGCCATCCACTTCGACCCGCCGCCTGAGCTGCGCGACAAGTTTGAACCAAAGCCAAGTCAATACAGGGCCGTATGACATAAAGCACCTGTTCATTCGCTCGAGCAGTAGCCACCCCTCATTCAAATTGTAATGTACAAAAGATGTATGGTAACTTTCCTTGCCATTAAGTATTTTTTCTTTGAGAAAATCCTTGTGGGGTGCATAGACGGCAAAAGCACGTTGAGCTCATCACTTGGAGTGAATCAGTCTGGGGGTGATCCTGAAAGATGGGCTTGGTGGCTAGAAAAGTCGGAGATCTCAGACTACTCATGCTACATACAACTACGGTACCGTATAAGATCAGCCTAGGCTCGCCGTTATACACAGCAGCATCTCATATTTCCATGGAAGCCATTCGGCATCGTACCACATCAAAGACAATACTGCATTCTATCCAGGAAGCAAAGGTGACAATGATATCAGTCCAAGCAGCGCATGTGCGCTGTCAGCTGCTTGCACCTGCACCCCGTGTGTGCTGTCAGCTACGTGCACCTGCACCCCGTGTGCGTGTCACCATCTCCACTCTGCTCTTCACAGCCCTCGCTGCTCGCTCCCACGCACCCAGTAAACCATTCACCTCCCCCTCTCCTGCACGTGTGACCCTGCCATTGGCAGTTGAACCACCCAGCACACCCCCATTGCTGCTGCCACCCTCTGGCCCACCTGCTGCTGTCTGCCTGCTGCCGCTGCCGCTGCCGCTGCCACCAGCAGTGCCGACACTCTTCTCCCCGCCCTCTCTGCCATCCCCTCCCCCTTTCACCCCCCCAATCCCCACCTCCTTTCTCCTCCCAGCCCTTGGCTTCACCAGTCCGCCCTCCCACCCCTCTCCACCGCTCCCCATCCCCCCCGCCTCCCCAGCACCACCCCTGGGCGACTCCAAGTACGACACACCGCTGCGCCACGCCACAGCGGCGCCTCCGCCCTCACGAGGCAGCCCCGTGGCGCTCACCACGTTCGACAGCGCCTCGCCCTCCCCCCACTCCCCGTCACCCCCCTCGCCCGCCCCCCTGCCCGCCCCTGCCAGCGCAGCAGCCACGGCCTGCTGGGCCAGCTTCGCCCCCGGGCTCCTCTCCACCTCCACGCCCCCCATGCCCGCCCTCGCCCCCACTACCCCCGCGTCTGCGCTGCCCCTGCGCCCCCCAGCAGCAGCGGCAGCAGCAGCGGCGTGGCGGCGGTGCAGGGCGGAGCGCAGGAGGGCGCGCTGGGCGCGGCGGTCGAGCAGGGGCAGCGGGATGGCGGAGAGGGAGCGCGCGAGCAGCGCCTGGGAGAAGGCCGCGCTGCACTGCTGCTGCGCATGCTCCTCACAGGCCGCCTGTGGGCGTGCATGGGGGTACACGGGGTTGAGAAGACAAGAAGCATTCAAATGGAGGGACCACGAGGGGAGGAGGGGGTAATGGAAGGGGGCCAGGGGGCATCAGTGCGAGCAAAGGGGCCAAATGGATGCAAAGAGGACACTTGAGCAGAGCACGGAGGGATGATGGAAGGCGAGGCATGGGGTGGTGAGCGACCTGTGCGGTGGCGAGGCACGCCATCATCTCCCGCTCCTCACACGCCTCGCGCTCCTTCTCCTCCTCCTCGCTGCCCCTGCCCGCCCCTCCCCCCACCCCCAGCAGCTCCATGACTCCCAGGAAGCCGCCCCCCGCGCCCCTCAGCCCCCACGGCCGCGCTGCCTGGCACCGCTCACTGGCGCGCACTGCACACCCCATGCGCGCGCCCACCTGAGGGGGAGGGGGGAAGGGGGAGGAAGGTCAGGGGAGGAGGGGGAGAGATAGGGGGTGGGAGGGGAGAGATTAATTAACGTGGACGTGGGGGAGGGGGAAGGAAAGTTGTGAGAAAGGGGGGGTGAGGGTGGAGCAGGAGAAAGGAGGAAGGAAGAGGAGGGCGGGGAGAATGGGAGGTGAGTGAGAGCCTTGCTAACGACGAAGAATGCATTCAGCGTGAGCCCGCTCCCACGCTCACCTCGCACTGTTCCGCTATCTTGCGCTCGCAAGCCCCCCACGCGCTGCGCCAGCTGGACTCGTCTTGGAACGCCAGCACCCACGCGCCGCGCTCGGGGCTGTCAGCGGGACCCGCGCGCACGGGCACGCGCAGCGGCGGCAGCGGCGCGGGCGAGAAGGCGACGGTGGTGACGGCGGGCGCCAGCTCCACGTCCGCCGCGTCCAGCCCCCCGTACGCCCCGCCGTCCATGCCGCCTGGCGGGGAGGCGTAAAGGGAGGTGCGAGAGGAAGGGGGAGTGGCGTTGGCAGAGTTAAGTGTCAAGGGAAGGGAGTGCAATGGGCACACGCCCCTCCCCAGAAGGAGCGGGAGGGGAGATCGGTGGAGAACGATAGAGGGTGGTGAGAATGGGAGTGGAGTGGAGGAGCGCGGGTGAGAGGGGAGGCGCGGGCCCAAGAGAGGGGGTGCGTGGTGACAAAAATGTGTTAGGAGCGGCGGCGATGGGCGACGCACCCGAAGGCGCGAGGGGGCCGCTGATGGTGCCTCCCGCGCCGCCCTCCATGCTGCTGCTCCTCCCGCCGATCGCCCGCTGCCGTGGCGGAGTGGTGGCGCGGAGGGATACGGTGGTGGGCGCGGCGTTGCGCAGGTGGGCGACGGGGGGCGTTGAGCGCAGGACACGCGGAGATGAGGGTTGGTCCCACAGAAGCTGTCAACCTTGCCGTGGCTCGTCTGCCTCGCGTCAACGCGGGTCACCGTCGTCACCCGCTGTCGTCCTTGTCCGAATGATCGCACGCGACTAGGCGTAATCAATCTGTTCACACAACAGCGTAGCTAGTGTTTCACTTTCCTGTTTGTCGACGTACCGTTACAAGAGCTATCGAATGATCCGATAACAGAAAATAATTTTAATGCTTGTTACCAAATCGGTTTAGGTGGTTCGATATGGTTGTTCTAGTGAAGATCAGCCTGCTAGATACGTGCGGTTTATAAAATTTGTGTGTCCGGCTGAATTTCATACAAAATCCTTCTGTAAGTGTACTAATCCCCTGAAACTATTTTAGCAGATACTAAATTAAATATGTTGGCACCCAGGGGAACCCCCATCGTCCACCAGAGCCTGCGGCTGGAGTGCATCCCCCCTTCGATCAAAAGCAAGCCAAGGCGCCTTCCTCCCCTCGCACATCCGCCAATGGCGTCGCTCGCGCGCAAGCTCGCCGTTCTCCCCGCAGCTCGCCTCACCGCCCGTCCCCGCTGCTCCTCGTCGCACCTTCCCGTGCCGCGCTCCCGCCATCCTCTTGCGCCTCGCGGAGTCGCTCCGCTTCCCGCCTCCCTGCGTTGCCGCGCAGCCTCGCCGTTGATTTCATCCTGCCCGTCCGTCGCAGCTCTCTCCGCCGTCCCTTGGTTCTCCGCCGCGGCGGGGCGACGGAGCGTGGCGTCGAGCGCGTCGGCGGGAGGCGGGGGACGGGGCGCGCGGGAGGCGGAGGAGGAGTGGGACCGCGAGGTGCTGGTGCAGCACCTGGTGGTGGGCGCGGACCAGCTGCCGCTGCTGCTGGAGCTGCAACGCCGCATCATGGCGGGTGAGAGGAACACGTGTGTTTGATTTTGTTGCGCCATGCGGCATGCATGACTGTTGCGTGAAGGACGTGCTTGCTCAGGCGGTCATTCCAGGCGTGCATTCACATTCACCATCCCAACCACCTTCACTTGCACCCCACCCCTCACCTCCCGGGTGCGCGCAGAGGGCGTGGATCGAGCGACCTGGCGGGCAACCCCGCCTCAACCAAATCTCCTCCCCGCCCCCCCCTCCCGCCCCCCGCGCGCGCAGACGAATCGGATCTGAGCGACCTGGCGGCGGAGCACTCGCTGTGCGCGTCGAGGGCCAAGGGCGGCATGGTCGGGTGGATCTCCAAAGGCTCCACTGTCAGTCGTCCCTCCCACCTGCCCCCATCGCTCATTCCCCGCCCCTCCCACCTGCCCTCACCACCATGCTCGCCTCATCGCGCTCCCCTACCTCGAAGCTTGCACATGCTGGTGGCATCATTGCCTGCACCACCCATGTGACCCATCCACGCGCCCACCACGCGGTGATACTCCTTATCACTCCCGCGCTCCATGGCATGGAATGTCACCGCATGGCATGATGTGTGGCGTGGCGTGGTGTGGTGTGGCGTGGCGTGGTGTGGCGTTGCGTGGCGTTGCGTGTCGTGTCGTGGCGTGGCGTGGCGTGGCGTGGCGTGGTGTGGCGTGGCGTGGTGTGGCGTGGCATGGCATCAGGAGCCGGAGTTTGAGGAGGCGGCATTCAAGGCGAGGCCAGGGGACGTGGTGCGGTGCAAGACCAAGCACGGATGGCACCTGCTGCAGGTGCTGGGGGACAGGTGAGCCTCCCCTTGCATGTTGTGTGTTCTTCTGCTGCCCCTCTCTCACTGTACTCGTCGCATGTCCCATGCTCCCTCTCCCTTCTCCCATCTGCGCCCGAGCGTCCCGACCTCTTCTCTTCCTCCACTCCCCCACCCATCCCCTGTCCCTCGCCCGGGCGGCATGGCGCCATCAGGCACGCGGCGGTGTTGGACCAGGTGACGGTGGAGGAGTTCGCCAGGCGCCTCAGCGAGGAGTACGTGCTGCCGCCGCCACAGGGGGGTGCAGCGGGCAGGGGGGGCGCGGACAGCGAGGGGCGGTCGCTGGAGGCAGAGCTGGCGGAGGTGCAGTCGGAGAGTGAGGGGAGGCGCGCCGTGCAACTGGTGGACGTGCGCGAGGAGAGGGAAGTGTGCGTGCATGCCTTCCCTCTGCTCATCCCCATGCCCTGCCATGCTGTGCCACACCATGCCATGCCCTGCCATGCTGCCATGTTTGGTTTGCCCATCTGGCATTGATGCTTCCCTTCCTGCTGCCTTCGTCGCCCCCCCTGACTTGCGTTGCTTCATCCTCCCACTCTTCTCACTCCCCATCCCCAAATGAACCACGCCCTCTCTCCCTTTCTCTCCTCCCCCTCCTCAAATCTGCCACCTCTGCTGCCCTGTCATGCTGTGTTGTGCCCTGTTGTGCTGTGCGGTGCTGTGCGGTGAAGCGCAGGGAGATGGCAGCCATCCGCGGGTTCACAGTGCTGCCGCTGAGCCAGTTCGGCCAGTGGGGGCCGTCCATCGCTGACACACTCGACCCTCACACTGACACCTACCTCCTGGTATCACACACAACCACACAGGACCGTGCTGCCTGCTACCCACCAATTCTCACCATGTTATCACCTTTGCCATCTCCCCTCACATGACGTACATCTCACCTCACGTATGATGCATCTCACCTCACGTATTATGCATCTTTCCTCATCCTTGCAGTGCCATCCTATGTCCTATTTCCCCCCTATCATCCCTCCTGTCCCCGCTCGTATCTCATCGCCTGCTCATCTAATGTTCTCTCCTCCTTTTTCATCCCATGTGACCCATCACATGCCATTCAAACCCAACCATGCGCCACCCCCCCTGCCTGCAGTGCCATCATGGCATTCGCTCGCAGCAGATGGCCCACTGGCTCCAATCCCAGGTCGCGCCGCCGCCCACCCTCGCTCTCTTCCACCCTTGCTCTTCCCTCCTCTCTCTCCCTTCCTCGTATCCCTTCCTCCGGTCCACATCTTCCGTCATCCCTCCGTCTCCCTCCCTCACCACTACACCCTCTCCCTTCCCTCACTCTTGCTGTTCTGTTCTACCTGCTTCTTCTTCTCCTCCGCGTGTTGGTGCTCATGTCTCAACAGAACTATTCGATTGACCATTGTTGAGTTCCTCACAGCCACCTGCTCACCCCTCTCCTAGTCCGTCTCTTGTTTTCTCTCTTCCCCACTCCTTCTCTACCCCTCTCCTCTCTCTCCCCTGCGTCTCTCACTATACCCTCTTCTCCCATCACTACACTTGGTGCACATTCCACAGCACTGCCACTCATGGGCTTTGCTGCATGCAGCTCCACCCACAACAATGCGACTTACTAGTCTGCCACTTCATCCCCCACTCCTCCAATGTGCTCCCTCCCACCGTGCCTCCAGGGCTTCACGCGCCTGTTCAACATTGCTGGGGGCATCGATGCATACTCGCTCAGGGTCGACCCCTCCATCCCCCGTTACTAGCAGCTCCGCGTGTTTCTCCCAGTACTGCACGATGCAAAAAAAGGGGCGCTGTTTAGAGCGCAACAGGATGTCACGATATGGCATGCAGCCGTAAAAAACATATTTCTTGCTTTGTTGTTTTTGTTGACTGGTCTTGTCACCAGGGCCCAAATTTCAAGGGTAAAATACCCTTTTTGCCATTTTTGCCCAAATTTCAAAGGTAAAATACACTTTTTGGCAGTTACCCTTGTGAAATCATCACAAAACCCCCCTATTATATTGGTCAATTATTGCTCCAACTTCGGTGTTTCCATCCAAAATTGGACTATTAATGGTCTCATTGTTTGGTACAATATTGGTATAGTTGCAAAGATGAACTTTGGGCTATGTTTGGCCAAAGTTTAGGTGATTCTGATGACCATTTTTTCTCCAAGCCTACTCTCAACTTTATCCCAAGTTGAACCAAGTATGGTCCCAATTTAGAGTCTCCTGTGTCTTGGGTTGGCCCTATACCAAACTGTCATTTGCATGAAATTTCTGTTTGAAATATTTTTTTATTGCAAAATCAAAATACAGCATAGTCTAGATACAGCAAAACAATACATTACAACTGTACTGCTCCTACACTACACTGATTAAAGGTTACTAAATCCTTCTGCTAAAGCTACTGCTGGCTGCTACTGCCACTGCTATGCTCCTCCGCACCTGTCTCCCCGTTGCTGCTACTGGTTGCTACTGCCACTGCTATGCTCCTCCGCACCTGTCCCCCTGCTGGCCCTGCTGCTCCGCACCTGTCCCCCCTGCTGCTGCTACTAGTTGCTACTGCCACTGCTACGCCCCTCTGCACCTGTCTCCCTGCTGCTCCTGCAGGTTTCTAATGCCGCTGCTACTCCCCTCTGCACCTGTCTCCCTGCTGCTCCTGCAGGTTGCTAATGCTGCTGCTACGCCCCTCTGCACCTGTCTCCTTGCTGCTCCTGCAGGTTGCTAATGCCGCTGCTACGCCCCTCTGCACCTGTCTCCCTGCTGCTCCTGCAGGTTGCTAATGCCGCTGCTACGCCCCTCTGCACCTGTCTCCCTGCTGCTCCTGCAGGTTGCTACTGCCGCTGCTACGCACCTCCGCACCTGCAGATTGCTACTGCCTTTGCTATGCCCCTCGTTTTCCTGTCATCCTGCTGTTCCTGCAGATTGCTGCTGCCACTAATGTGCCCTTCCGCACGTGTCCCCCTGCTGCTGTCTCAGATTGCTGCATTTTTTGCTATGCCCCTCGTTTTCCCGTCCCGTTGCTGTTCCTGCTGATTGCTACTTTCACTGATGCGCCCTTCTGCACTTGTCCCCCTGCTGCTGTTGCAAATTGCTGCATCCACTGATATGCCCCTCGTTTTCTGTCCTCCTGCTCCTGCAGATTTCTACAGCCACTGAAATGCCCCTCTGCACCGTTCCCCCTGCTCCTGCTGCAGATTGCTACTGCCTCTGCTTAGCCCCTCTGCACCTGTCCCCCTGCTGATGTTGCAGATTGCTACTGCCACTGCGAAGCCCCTCCGCACCGATCCCCCTGCTGCTGCTGCAGATTGCTACTGCCACTACTAAGCCCCTCCGCACATGTCCCCCTAGTGCTGCTGTAGATCTCTGTGATCACGGGTTGGGGGTGACAACCCGGGCTGGTGCAGGTCGTGCTGCCTGCGCAAAGAGGCATGGGGGACGGAAGGAAGGGGACAGTAGAGACGGGAGGAAGGGGACGGAAGAGATGGGAGGAAGGGGAAGGGGACGGAAGAGATGGGAGGAAGGGGAAGGGGACGGAAGAGATGGGAGGAAGGGGAAGGGGACGGAAGAGATGGTGAGTGATGCAACAAAGCTGGTGCCACATGAGCATTGTGTTGGAGCCATCTCAGCAAGGTTTTGGTCCTATGGATGACTTACCTGCACCCTGCTGACAAGGGTCTCCATGTCAGACGCGTCGATGTAGACGCCGTTGGGGAAGTTGAATGTGTTCGTGTTGCTGGCGTATGGGACACCATGGTCCATGACAGCGATCTCGACCTCCTGCTTCACACGGGTGCACATCTCCTCGTACTGGATCCGATTGTACTCCCACTTGCCGCTCAACTTCCCATCGGGCGCATTGTTAAGGATTGGCCACTCGAACTGTAGGAATATGGTGGGGATGAGGTGGGGATGTAGTGGAATAGATGAACAGACAAGGGTTAACACATGAAAACACTAGATGGCTCACCGCATACGTGGCATCAAACATAGCAACATGTCCATAAACTCACTGCATATAAGATCCAGCCCAGCTGGCGGGTCTTAATCTTCTCGGTATTGACCCCACGGCGCGCCAAAGCCAACTTGATGGACACTGAGAAGATGAGGCTGCCGAACGGGATGAGGAGCTCACGGTGCCAAGCCAGTCCCCTCGCCCCTGTAATGGGATTGTGTGGTGATTGGAAACAAAGGGATGAAAATTGCTGACTCTATGGTGAATAGGGGGCAACCGAAAGTGGAAAGGAGGAACGAAATCATACATATACATATGATTGCAACACACATAACAGCAACTATGGGATCAAAGGCTGCATACAAACTCACCATCCTTGTAACGCTCAATGAGTTCCTCATCCGTGTAGAACTCGAGTGGTGCAAGTAGATCTGCTGGTAACCTCCCAATGTAACACCTGTTCGCCTATCGACCCAATGCCGTGAGCGCCACCTTTCTCATCCAGCCGTTGATAGTAGTCCTAGTTGAAGACAGCTGGTAAAAAAAACCCCTCTGGTGCTGGCATCATTGTGCTGAAAGAGCACACGCAACGAGGCAAGAACCTGCGGCGACACAAACTCGCTAAACCCATGATCTAAGGCCTCCTCCGCAGATGGGTAGAACTGAATCATTGAGGCTTCAATGTTGAAGAAAAGATGTGTTGCTACACGCCTAGCAAGTTCCTGCAGAGTGGAGGGGGATGGGTGGCAGATATGCAAACAAGAGGTAAGGGTTTGCAAGTGGGGTTTAGTGTTGAGGGTAAGGTGGGCAGATAGTTGGAGCATGCGTCTAGGTTTAGGGAAAGCTTCAGCTCCCTAGATTTGGATGGGGGAGCAAGTGGGGTTTAGAGTTGAGGGTAGAAGGGACAGACTGTTGGAGCATGAGTCAAGGTTTAGAAGCTCCATCTCCCAGTTCTTGGCTGGGTAAGCAAGAGATGTTTAGGGTTGAGGAGAGAGGGGGCAGATTGACAAAGCATAAGTCATGGTTTAGGGTTGATGGTAGTGGGTGCAGATAGTCAAAGCAGAAGTCATGGTTAGGTAAAGCCTCAACTCCCTATACGTGGATGGGGAAGCAGGTGGGGTTTAAGGTTAAAGGGAGAGGGGCAGGCAGGCAGAGGGGAGTCAAGGTTTAGGTAAATCGTCACCTCACTAGACCTGGATGGGGAAGCAAGCGGGGTTTAGGGTTGAAGGGAGAGGGGTAGGCAGGCAGAAGGGAGTCAGGGTTTAGGTATTGCCTCACCCCCTGAGACCTGGATGGGGAAGCAAGTGGGGTTTAGGGTTGATGGTAGTGGGGGCAGACAGTCAAAGCAGAAGTCATGGTTAGGTAAAGCCTCAACTCCCTATACCTGGATGGGGAAGCAGGTGGGTTTAAGGTTGAAGGGAGAGGGGCAGATAGGCAGAGGGGAGTCAAGGTTTAGGTAAATCGTCACCTCACTAGACCTGGATGGGGAAGCAAGCGGGGTTTAGGGTTGAAGGGAGAGGGGCAGGCAGGCAGAAGGGAGTCAGGGTTTAGATATTGCCTCACCCCCTGAGACCTGGATGGGGAAGCAAGTGGGGTTTAGGGTTGATGATAGTGGGGGCAGACAGTCAAAGCAGAAGTCATGGTTAGGTAAAGCCTCAACTCCCTATACCTGGATGGGGAAGCAGGTGGGTTTAAGGTTGAAGGGAGAGGGGCAGGCAGGCAGAGGGGAGTCAGGGTTTAGGTATTGCCTCACCCCCTTAGACCTGGACAGGGAAGCAAGTGGGGTTTCGGGTTGAGGGGAGAGGGGCAGGCAGACAGAAGGGAGTCAGGGTTCAGGTATTGCCTCACTCCCTTAGACCTGGACAGGGAAGCAAGTGGGGTTTAGGGTTGAGGGAAGGAGGGATGGACTGGCACAGCGTGAGTCAGTGTTTAGGAAAAGCTTCAACTCCCTAGTTCTGGTTGGGGAAGCAATTGGGGTTTAGGGTCGAGGGGTGAGGGTGCAGACTGGTCGAGTAGGAGTCTAGGAAACGCATACGCAGTGTATCACAGGCAACACACCTTGAAGTCGACTACGGCTTTGTAGACGATTTCGCGGTGGTTTGCCAGGGGACTATTGCCAGAGGGAAGGCCTTCCGACAAGCTGGTGCTCGGGCCAGAATGGGGAGGTGTTGTTGCAGGCGCTCCGATTGGGAGGGATTGGCCAGCACCCCGACCCATGGCCGACAACATTTCGGCAAACTTCGCCATCACGCGTCGCTCGAATTGGTCAAGGTCCGCGTTTGTTACACCACCACGCTCCCGGCGGCGATCGCCGGATGCCGCCACAAACGGGGTTTTCTTAGCGGGTACGAGATTGAAACGCTTGGTGGCTAGGCTGAGAACCTTCACTGGTGGCGCAGCTCCGAAGTCCTTGGGTGCTGCTGGGAGGAACGTGACAGAAGGGATGGGAGTTGGGTGACGGGAGGGATGGGAGATGGGTGACGGGAGGGATGGGAGGAAGGTAGACAGAAGGGATGGGCTGATTGGTTTACGGCAGGGATAGGTCGAGAGCTGACGGTAGGGATGGGACTGCAGGGATGGGAGGATAGGGTACGGCAAGGATAGGGACAACAGGGATGGGACTACAAAGAAAGGATGGGACAGTGCCTTGGGACATCAACAAACATGCCACAAATAGAAAGGCCACATAAGGGCAATAGCCCTAGTTCACTGAAACATGCACCTTAACGAGGCAACGTTCTCACCATCGGTTTTGGTGTTGCCCTTCTTAGCGGTCACTTTAGCCCCATCGCCTGCTTTAGCCTTTACCCCTCTTGCCCCAGCGCCTGCTGCCTTTGGAGTTGCCTTCGTTTTGCCCGTGGTGTTCCGCTTTTTTTATGCACCTTCAACCACCAAGGCGGACTCCTCCCGTTTTGTCTTTCCACCAGGGCTACTCTCTTTCGCCACCACTTTCTCCACCACTTTCTCCACCACTTTCTCCTTACCCTTAGCCATGGCGACAGCATGTCTCCCTGGAGGTGGCTTAGCCAGAACCTTAGTGGGTCCTGAACGCGACTGTGCTTTCGCACCCTTTCCAGCGAGCTTCGAGCTGACAACGGGTTCCTGGATCTCATCAAGTGCCTTCAGCTTCCCAAGCAGCAAAGCTCGTTCCTCTGCCACAGCCTCATCCTCCACGGCATCACCTTCACTGTCATCCTGCTCTTCCAACATCTCGTCAAAGCTTGTTTTTTTCGTGACCTCAGGCTTATGAACATCCGCGCAGGCAGGCACTTCCGCCGTACCGTTTTTCTCATTCCTCTCCATTGCCTCCTCCTGATCCTCCTGCTCATCGTCCGACTCTCCACCCTCCTCGTCCGACGGCTCGTCCTCGGACTCATCTTCCGACTCATTGCCGGACTCCCCACCTTCTTCGTCCTCCGCCTCCCCATCTTCCTCTTCCTCTGCCTCTTCCTCCGCCTCTTCCTCCGCCTCTTCCTCCGCCTCTTCCTCTGCCTCTTCCTCCGCCTCTTCCTCCACCTTTTCCTCCTCATCTTCCTCCGCATCTTTGTCGGCCTCTTCTTCCGCCTCCTCCTCCGCCTCGTGTGGAGCCTCGTGCTCAGCCTCGTGCTCAGCCTCGTCCTCAGCCTCATCCTCAGCCTCGGCCTCGTCTCCCGACTTGCCATTGGCCTCTGCCTCGTCCAAATCGTCGCCCTGTCGTTTGTTCCGCGCAGCTGTAACAGGTCAGCGTCTTCTTCGGTAGCATCCGCACCTTCTGCGTACCACAATCTTGCCTTTCGAGGGCGGTTGGACTTGCGAATATCGCCCCCAGGTGGGCCCTCACCGCTAGATGACCTGGATTTCGGTGGACCGACAGTTCCCTTCTTCTTCGTAGTCTGCTTGACCTTGCTGGGAGATCGTGCCGAGACACCTTTGGCAGAGTTTTTCTTCCCAGACTTCGAGACCTGCAGTTTAGTCGACATTATGCAGACAGGGCCAGAGAAAATCGGGAAACGCTGGGAGACTCTAACGTAACAAAGTATATCGGTTTGCACTAGGGATTGGTAAGTGCTACTAGTGTCGAAACATGTCTTCGGAAACATTCAGGAGATGCAGAAATGAGCCATCATTTAGGAACCGAAAACGTACAGCGTGTTCCGGTCGCGGTCACTTGACGGGTCGGGTACTCAGAGTTTGAAGCAGCCCGATTCGGGAATGGGCGCTTTCTACGCGACCCGCTTATAACGATTTGGTATGGACTTTCAGCCGGCGCGGCTTGACTCTCGGAAAGAAACTGGACGTGGGTGATACTAGGGAGGCCCTAGAAGCTACTATGTTCGCAGAGGGTAAGGCAGTACGTGGCGCTATGATACGTGCCATTCTGAGAGGCCGTGAAAAACGGACGGAACAGGATATCTTGGAAGCGCGAGGTCGATTATGTTTGCATAGGAGAGTCGCGTGGGTCGCGGTTCGACCATGTCAGAGGTAAGTTGCTGGGAAAAGCGGGGGAAAAACTGTCTTGCGGTGCCGAAGGAAAGACGCCCTCGTGAAGGTGTTGGTCTTTCAGCGTCGTGACTGCTATCGCGAACCGTAGCATAGGACCAGAGAGTTGTGAGAGACGATGGTGGCAGAGGAACTGCTAGGCGTGACCGTGGGCTGGGGTTCGAGGCGGTTGATGATAATGTTGGTTTGATACAGTACAAAACGACGACAGTGGCCAGCACCACATGGCAGAATTGTGGTTTGCGTGGCAGCTTTGTGGTTTGTGCGGCAGGGCAGCTCTGAAGTTTTCATGGCAGCTTTGTGGGTGCTTGGCAATGTGGCAGTACAGTGCAGAACAGTAAAGTTCCGAACTGACCCTAGGAGCAGTGGTAGGAATTTCGCAACGGTCCACTGACCCTATCAAGGTAGAACTACTTCTCGTCGCATCCCATCACTTAGCCTGCAATTGGCAATCGGCGCACCTGGAGATGACCCTTTGGTAAACCGGAAACCTGGAGATTCTGACAACCAGATGTCACAGGCCTTGATACGACCAACAGACATAACCCCGTGCCCAGCGATCCAAAAATTGCTGCCAGAATCTGCTCTGATTCTGTTTCGGCTCTGCACAATGGTCACTAGCAGCATTTCAACGGGTTCTCTTAGACAGTTCGGTGTGAAAGTTTAGAAGAAAGAAGAGGGTTGCACTAGCAAGAATGAGGATACAAATAGCAAACCCTAGAAGGGTTGTACTCGCTATAGAGCACCCCACTACAAGCTAGAGCATAATATTCTGACACACCCCCATAGCCGAAGTGGGGTGTAATCAGCAGAGCAAGCAAAGCAGTACAAGCTCAGGGTGGATCACAATGTCACCACACATTCTGAGCACAAGTTGAAGAAGCAATAGTTTAAAGTTCACAATTATGAGCAACGCTAGAGGCTATCGCAGAGGGCTAGTGTGGAGGAGGGACTATGAGAGGAGAGGAGGTAGTGGGCGGTAGCTGAAGCTGCTGGCACACGGTGCAACTGGAGCAACTCGCACACGGGCAACTGGAGCAACTGGCACACTGGCAACTGGAGCAACTGGCACACGGGCTACTGGAGTAACTGGCTCCGCGGCTAACAGTAGCGGCAGACGAGCAACGGACTCACGGGCCACTGGAGCAACGGGCTCACGGGCGACTCGCGCAACGGACTCATGGGCGACTGGCGCAACGGTCTCACGGGCGACTGGAGCTGTTGGCTTCTCGGCGGCCACCCCCTTCAACCTCCCCAAACTATCCCACTCCCATTCCACACACCCCCTACTGCACCCCTAGGGTCACTCACACCCCACCCCCTAGCACGACTCCGTCGACTCCCACACACCCACCCCCCTCAGCGGTAGCTGCAGCAGTGGGAGACAGAGGAGGAGGAGCAGGGGAGACCACACACCCGCCACCCCCCCGGTCGCCCCTCAGGTCGCCCCTCAGGTCGCCTCGACAGGCGACGGGAAAAGGGGGGGGGGGGGGGGGGGGAGGCGGTGCCGTAGGTAGGGCGACGGGGCCGGGGCTGAGGTGCAGGTAGGGCGACGGGGCCGGAGCACAGGTAGGGCGACGGGGCCGGGGCCGGGGCCGGGGCGCAGGTAGGGCGACGGGGCCGCAGGTAGGGCGGCGGGACGACGGGGCCGCTGGCGGCGGTTAGGGGCCGATAGGAGTGGCGACGGGGGGCGACGTGCGGGCCCCCTGTCGCCCGTCGCAGCGCCTCCCGGGGGCGACGCTGTCAGAACATATAGCTTACCTGTTTGTGTAGGCTATAGTGGGGTATCCCATAGGGGGTACAACCCAATTAGGGTTTCCTATTTGTACTCACTTCGTTCATAGTCATTCCATTCTCGTTCTTTGATTTCACATGGAATCAGAGCAGGTTCCCTCCTAGGGACTGCTTCTAGGGCCCACCGAACCGCGCCCCGAGGCGCGTTTTTTTTTTTAGCGACCCGTCGTGTCGCCCCTAGCGGCCCGCTGCGCCGCCTTTCCCCTAGCGGCTCCGCCGCCCTTCCCTAGCGGCCCCGCCGCCCTTTTGATCGCGGCCCCGCCGCCCTCTACTACGCGGCCCCGCCGCCCTCTGCTACGCGGCCCCGCCGCCCTCTGCTACGCGGCCCCGCCGCCCTCTGCTACGCGGCCCCGCCGCCCTCTGCTACGCGGCCCCGCCGCCCTCTGCTACACGGCCCCGCCGCCCTCCACTACGCGGCTCTGCCGCCCTCTGCTACGCGGCCCCGCCGCCCTTCGATCGCGGCCCCGCCGCCCTTTGCTACGCGGCCCCGCCGCCCTCTGCTACGCGGCCCCGCCGCCCTCTTCGGTCGCGGCCCCGCGGCCCTTCGATCGCGGCCCCGCCGCCCTCTGCTACGCGGCCCCGCCACCCTCTGCTACGCGGCACCGCCGCCCTCTGCTACGCGGCCCCGCCGAGCCGCCCAGCAGCAGCCGGGCCGCCCACCAGCAGCCGGGCCGCCGCCGCTGCCGCCGAGCCGCCGCCACCTGCGCCGCCGCCGAGCCGCCGCCGCCTGAGCCGCCGCCCGGGCCACCTGAGCCGCCGCCCGAGCCGCCGCCGAGCCGCCGCTGAGCTGCAGCCGAGCCGCCGCCCGAGCCGCCCGAGCCGCCCGAGCCGCCCGAGCCGCCCGAGCCGCCCGCGCCGCCCGAGCCGCCTGAGGAGCCGTGCTGCTGTTCCTGAGCTGTGTTCCTCTGCTGCTGACCTACCCGACTCTCCCAGCCCGGTGAGACCTTCAGCTGCTGTCATGGCCACCCCCAATGTTCTTACTTTTGACGCTGAGGGGAGGGCCATTGACTTTGCCGTCTGGATTGAAGACCTGCAGCTGTACTTGCTGTGTGATGCGATAGATGAGGTCTCTCTCTTTGACTTTGTCTCTGGCGCTGTCCCTGCCCCTCCTGCTGATGCTGACTCTGCCGTTCGCTCCAAGTGGGCGACCCGCGATGCTGCTGCACGTCTTGCTGTGCGTCGCCACCTCCCTTCCTCTGAGCGTGCCCACTTTAGTCAGTGCAAGACCGCTCAGGCCTTGTACGACGCTGTAGTTGCACGCTACTCCTCCCCTTCCTCCGCTACCCTTAGCCGCCTCATGCTACCGTTTCTCTTCCCTGACCTCGCTTCCTTTCCCACTGTCGCTGACCTCGTTACCCACCTCCGTGCTAGTGACACCCGCTACCGCGCTGCCCTTCCTGCTGAGTTCCGCGCTGCGAACCCTCCTCCCATGTACATCACTCTCTACTTTCTCGTCACCCGTCTCCCTGAGTCCCTTCGTGTCGTTAGGGACCAGTTTCTCTCTGTCTGTCCCACCACTCTCACTGTCGACCTCCTTGAGGAGTCCCTGCTAGCGGCTGAGAAGAGTATTGTCGCTGTAGGGGCCTCTCGGGGTGACCCTCGCACCCCCATCTTTGAGGGGTGTGGTCCTTCCCCCCTGCTGCCCTCTGTCGCCTCTGCCGCTGCGGCCGACCTCACTGGTTTTGAGTCGGTCGGCGCGGCGTCTGCCCCCAGCGGCAGACGCCGCTCTGGCAAGGGCAAAGGGGGCAAGGGAGCGAGTGGAGCTAGAGGGGGCGGTGGAGGAGGCGGTGGGGGTGGCGGGGGGAGTGGGGGTGGCGGTGGGGGTGGTGGCGGGAGTGGAGGTACTGGTGGCGGCGGTGGAGGCGGAGGTGGCGGCGGAGGTGGTAGCGGAGGAGGCGGGGGCAGCGGTGGGAGCGACGGTCCTGGTGGGGGAGGTGGCGGTGGAGACGGGGGTGGCGGTGGAGGCGGGGGTGGCGGTGGAGGCGGGGGTCGGAGTGGCTCGTCCCAGCGGAGCAGCTCTGGGGGTGGTCAGCGCCAGCAGCAGCAGCAGCAGCAGCAGCCGCAGCAGCAGCCACAGCAGCAGCAGCGCTCTCGCACCGTCCCCGGCCCTCAGCAGCTCCGTGAGTGGTACTTGCAGCGTCAGCGTGGTGGTGCGCTTGGTCCCTGCCCCTACGTTCTTCGCACCGGTGACCGTGCAGGGGAGAGGTGTGGAGGAGCCCACACAGCCCGCCGCTGCTTTGGCCGCCTGACCGACGCCTGGCGTCAGCAGTTTCCGGAGGCCGCTGAGATCCCCCGCTGGGGAGAGCTGTCTAGGGCTGGTGTAGCTATTTATGATCTTGATTTTGATGCTATTCTCTCTGCTATGTATGCTGTGACTAGTAGTGATGAGGATGACTGTTACCGGTGTTTCCCGCCCAACCCGGGCATTGGTACTGCCGCGTCAGGTACTAGTGAGGCTGCTGCTCTAGGTGCCAGTGCGTCTGTGCTCTCAGGTGCTGGTGAGTCTGCCCTCTCAGGTACTGTGTCGGCTTCGGCCTCTCACACCTTCACCCTTGACTCTGGAGCGTCTCGCTCCTTCTTTAGGGACCGCACCACTCTCACGCCGCTGAGTCGGCCGGTTGCGGCGTCCCTGGCTGACCCCTCTGGGGGGCCTGTCCTGTCTCGCTTCTCCACTGTCCTCCCGTGTCCGGCGGCCCCCTCTGGCACCCTGACGGGTCTTTACCTCCCCTCGTTCTCGACGAACTTGGTGAGTGGTGCTGACCTCCAGGATGCGGGTGTCCACCAGTTCACCCCTGCTCGTCAGCGGGTGACCCACTGCACGGAGGCGGATACAGATCGCCACCTGGCAACGTTTACACGTCGGCCAGGGTCGAGCCTGTACACACTGACCACTGCTTCTCCTCCAGGTGCTGAGTCTGGTAGGGTCCCTTCGTCTGGTCAGGTGTTTGCTGCAGCGTCCAGGTCTGGTCCTGAGTCTGCCCCCTGCTCGTGCCGTCGTCTGTCTCACGAGACCCTCCTCTGGCACCACCGCCTTGGCCACCCCTCTCTGCTTCGGCTCAGAGGCATGGCCTCGCGAGTCCTTGTGTCTGGTCTTCCACGGTCTCTCCCTCCCCTTCCTCCGGGCCCTGGCCCCACCTGTGTCCCCTGTGTCGAGGGGCGCCAGCGTGCTGCCCCTCACTCCTCCCAGTTTCCTCCGACAGAGGCCCCGTTGCAGACGCTTCACATGGACGTGTGGGGCCCAGCCCGCGTCCGTGGACAGGGTCAGGAGCGCTACTTCCTGCTGGTGGTTGACGACTACTCGCGTTACACCACAGTCTTCCCCTTGCGCAGCAAGGGTGAGGTCACTGAGGTGTTGATCGACTGGATCCGCGCAGCTCGTCTCCAGCTTCGGAGGAGCTTTGGCTCTGACTTCCCTGTTTTGCGTCTGCACTCGGACAGAGGCGGAGAGTTCTCCTCTGGCCTCCTGAGTGCCTACTGTCGTGCGCGAGGCATCCGTCAGACCTTCACGCTTCCGGACTCACCACAGCAGAATGGGATTGCTGAGCGCCGCATTGGCATGGTCATGGACGTCGCTCGTACGTCCATGATGCATGCGGCTGCTCCCCATTTTCTGTGGCCGTTTGCGGTCAGTTACGCTGCGCACCAGATCAACCTCCACCCCAGGGTCTCTCGACCGGAGACCTCCCCAGCCCTGCTGTGGACGGGGAAGGTTGGCGATGCGTCGGCGTTCCGGGTCTGGGGATCTCGGGCGTTTGTTCGCGACCTGTCTGCGGACAAGCTGTCCCCTCGTGCTTCTCCCTGCGTCTTCCTGGGGTTCCCCCCCGACGCCCCTGGGTGGCAGTTTTACCACCCCTCCTCTCGACGTGTTCTGTCCTCCCAGGACGTCACGTTCGACGAGTCGGTACCCTACTACCGCCTCTTCCCCTACCGCACTCCGTCCCTCCCCCCGCCCCCGCTCTTCTTGGTACCAGGTCCCCCCCCGGTAGTCCCCCTCCCCCCTCAGGGTCCTGCCCCTTCAGGTGTGTCCCAGGTAGACGCGGTCGAGCCTGTCAAGGTCACTGGTGACTCTGGTGCTGCTGCGGGAGCTGAGCCTGGGGGTGCGGCGTCTGGGGGTGCTGAGCCTGGAGGTGCCGAGTCTGGGGGTGCTGAGCCTGGGGGTGCTGAGCCTGGAGGTGCCGAGTCTGGGGGTGCTGTGCCTGGGGGTGCTGTGCCTGGAGGTGCTGAGCCTGGGGGTGCTGAGCCTGGGGGTGCTGAGCCTGGGGGTGCTGTGCCTGGGGGTGCTGTGTCTAGGGGTGCTGAGCCTGGAGGTGCTGTGCCTGGGGGTGCTTCGTCTCGCCTGGAGCCACTCTCCCCACAGGAGCTGCGTGAGTGGTTTGCCAGGCGCTGGAGGCGTGCTGCTGGTGCTGGTGGTTCTTCGGCTGCAGAGGGTACTGCTGCTGCGCGCCCCGCCGGTGCTCGTACTGTGGGTGCTGGAGCTGCTGAGTCTGAGAGTTCTCCTGGAGCTGGTCCTGCTGAGGGTGTTGGCGCTGAGCCTCCCGTTGGCGGTCCGACTGACGGTGCTCCTGGTGCTGCGGCTGGAGGTTCTGGAGCTTCTGGTGGTGCTGCTGGAGTGGGTGCACCTGCCGGGGCTACTGGTGCTGTTCCTGCTGTTTCTAGCGTCGCCGCGCGGCCCCGACCGTACTTCGTTCCGCTCCTGCAGTAGGTTCTTGGTCTTACACCTCCTCCTCCTTCTTTCACCCCATTTGGCGGGTGAAAGGACCTTTCACCCCATTTTCAGCTGCTGCGGAACATTTTAGAATGGTGGTTTGGAAGATGAGCTCGTATAGCTGAGATGGCTGCGATTTCCGCTGCCTTATGGGGCAAGGCATGATTATCTGTCGGCCACATATTGGATCGAGCTGATTCTTTGTGTGGTGACTCTAAGTAGTGTTGTGGACCGGTGTCCCCATTTTCAGCTCCTGCGGAGCACTCTAGGTTGGTTGTTTGGAAGATGAGCTAGTTTAGTTGATTTTTATGCGATTTCCGCTGCCTTTTAGGGCAAGGCACGATTACCTGCCGGCCACATATTGGATTGAGCTGATTCTTTGTGTGGTGACTCTAGTTAGTTCTATGAACCTCTCATCCCATTCTCAGCTCCTGCGGATCACCCTAGGTTGGTTGTTTGGAAGATGAGCTAGTTTAGCTGATTTTGCTGCGATTTCCGCTGCCTTATGGGGCAAGGCATGATTACCTGCGAGAGTTTACTGGATCGAGCTGATTCTTTGTGTGGTGACTCTAAGTAGTGCTGTGGACCTTCCATCCAATTTTCAGGTCCTGCGGAGCACTCTAGATTGGTTGTTTGGAAGATGAGCTAGTTTAGTTGATTTTTATGCGATTTCCGCCGCCTTTTGGGGCAAGGCACGATTACCTGCCGACCACATATTGGATTGAGCTGATTCTTTGTGTGGTGACTCTAGTTAGTTATATGAACCTCTCATCCCATTCTCAGCTCCTGCAGATCACCCTAGGCTGGTTGTTTGGAAGATGAGCTAGTTTAGCTGATTTTGCTGCGATTTCCGCTGCCTTATGGGGCAAGGCATGATTACCTGCAAGAGTTTATTGGATCGAGCTGACTATTTGTGTGGTGACTCTAGGTAGTGCTGTGGACCTTCCATCAAATTTTCAGGTCCTGCGGAGCACTCTAGGTTGGTTCTTTGGAAGATGAGCTAGTTTAGTTGATTTTTATGCGATTTCCGCTGCCTTTTGGGGCAAGGCACGATTACTTACCAGCCAAAGATTGGATTGGACTGATTCTTTGTATGGTGACTCTAAGTAGTGCTGTGGACCTTCCATCTAATTTTCGTCTACTCGGAGTGTTATAGTCAAGAGTCCACTTAGAGGTCGCGGATGCCCATGAAACCCCCTAAGCAGAATCTGACGCCTTCAAACCGCCTCTGTTCAAAACGCCGTCACGATCAGCTCCGATAACAAATGAGACTGAAACTTGGGCAGCGGTTAGCCTTAGATGTCTGCTTTCCAACGGTATATTATTTGCTATTATCAGAGGTGTGTGCACTACGCAGTGAACGAAAACGTAAGCTCGGCTGAAAAACGTGTAGTCTCATTGATGCAAGGAAGAGGTGAGTACAACATTGCCTAGGGGACTCATAAGGGGTTGGGTCATCCTGGGAACTCAGAGAATGTTGAGTCCTAGGGGAGAAAGGCTAGAGAAGGATGGGAAACGTCCTAGCTAGGTCAGCAAAGCCAACCACACATGGATGTTCAGAGCTGTACTCAAGGCAACCAATTGTGAGTTAAGCCAACCATGAGTCAGCTTGTCTTCCCACTTGCACCCTCTTGCAAGCTGGTTCCAGCAAGACCACACTTCTCAAAAGGAGGGCTGTAGAGTCCCACTTGACCACCTGTACTTCTTGTCTCATTCTCTGTCCCTGCACCATTGGCATGACAACAATGAAAGGGTGGCAAGGGAAATGCTGCCAACAGTGCACCATGACTACGGAACAGTGCATTTCGGCAGCTGTCACGCAATGCTCACAAGTTGGATCGTTCTGAAACTTGGTGAACACCTGCACAGCGGGGAATAGAACTGCCAGACCGAATTTCCGACCAATCAGAGCTTGGTAGACGAGTCAGCAGCCGAAATGGTGAACTCGGGTGTTACCAAAAAGGAGTAACACACACTTCCGGGATGCCATAAGTCTTGAAACATAAAATGTTGTCACGCCTTGGTAACTGCTTCAAAAAACTCTGAAACTTTGAGGGTTTGAAGAACACATGTTGAACAACCTCCCCACAAAATTCCAGAAGCTGAGCAGGCTTGTAGGCCGAATGGGAGTGCGATGACCGTGCCACTGTAATGTGTTGGCACAACACGTAGCACTCTAGGTTGGTTGTTTGGAAGATGACATAACACGACGGATTTTACTGCGATTCAGGCCGTTGTATGGGGCAAGGCCTGATTTCCTATCCTAGACGATATTAGTCCAATAGTCAGTAGTCATTAGGTTTGGTTTTTTGAAACCATGGTTACAAATTTCTTGATCGTAGGTTCAGTTAATATTTTTGTTCAATTCTATAAATGGCACATTTTGTCATGCATAACGTCTTATCACTTATGTGCACACCAGGGCTCGTATACAGTGTTGTGTCTAAAATGTGAATAGCATCGCATTTGACTTTCGAGAGTTTGAAGTCGTGGTATGAGGCACAGGGAATCAGGCACTGCACGCACACACCAACCCTATCCTGAAGGCTGCGAACCTAATTTCATCAAGGTTCCTGATCCGCCTCATCGCGATTCGTGTATTGCATCTCATATCGTGCCCCCAGGTCGCGCCGTCAGCGACTCGTCGTAATCACATGGCTGTCGCGCCTCTAGCTAGCTCACACTGTAGCGTTATTCCCCGTCACGATGTCCATCCGCTACCTTATACTGAATGGCCTTCTCGCTATTCATCGACTCTTTGTAGCGGGTGCGTATTTAAATGCCACGGCGATATGCAGAGGCAAAGGAACGACGGACTAATGTCACGCTGCCAAGGATCGTTCTAGTCCTGTTTGGTGTGCACACTGTGAACGGAAGTTTTTAGACTGTTTTGCGCTAGGAAGGCACCGGGCTGGCAACACACCCTGCAACCCCAACTCTGCAGAGCATCGCGCAGGCAGTGGTCCTAGGCGCCCTAACATAGCCTACATTGTGCCTGCATCACTCCCGCGCTTCGTCAGACATGGCAGTTCCGCGCCTCAAGATGCAACTCAGGAGACACTGCCAGCCTCGTCTAGTGGCGTGGGCTGTGAGAGTCGTGTTGATCCTGAGGGATCTTCTCCACATCCCTCAACGCCCCAGCCGTCCAGCCAAGGGGCGGAGCAGCCCCCAACCACATGTCCAGATAATCCTGAATCCGATTCTGTTGCCAGGCCTTCGTTTCCCGATGGCAGCGACATCCATCCCGCTCTGATACACCTGTTGGAGCAACTCGATTTGCTGAATGGCGGCATGGGCTTATCGAACATGGATACTAACAAGGTGCTGCAACTAATTATCCATCCAGAGTTGGCCCCGCTGCTGGTAGAGGGGAATGTCCGTAGCTTCCGGGATGTGGAGAGGCTACAGAAGGAATATCTGGCTGACACGGGACGTGGATTCGAGTCGACCACATTTTATGTGGAGGGCTTTCCACCGCAAGTGATGCTTCACCGCAATCCACTGAGGGTGAGTTTGCTGACGTAGTTTCGGGTACCCAGGATGAAACTGAAGGGCATTGGCTTGACAGTATGTCCTAGCGGCATCGTGCGTCACTCTCATACTGTGTAGGGTGCTAACCGGCCTGTGTACGTGCTGTATATGATATTGCAGGCCCTGGCGGATATGTTTTGGCACAAGCACAATGCGCCTGGGTTCAGAATGGGACCGAGGAGAGACAAGGACACCGAGGGTGGGCATCGGGCATATTCCACTGCAGAAACTGGCACATGGTGGCAAGAAGCACAGGTGAGTGCTATTGATAGCTATTTGCAGTTGCAAGAGATGGTGAGTGATGAGAGGGGAGGTGTAGAGATTGTGAGTGATGGGACGGGAGGTGCAGAGATTGTGAGTGATGGGACGGGAGGTGCAGAGATTGTGAGTGATGGGACGGGAGGTGCAGAGATTGTGAGTGATGGGACGGGAGGTGCAGAGATTGTGAGTGATGGGACGGGAGGTGCAGAGATTGTGAGTGATGGGACGGGAGGTGCAGAGATTGTGAGTGATGGGACGGGAGGTGCAGAGATTGTGAGTGATGGGACGGGAGGTGCAGAGATTGTGAGTGATGGGACGGGAGGTGCAGAGATTGTGAGTGCTGGGACGGGAGGTGCAGAGATTGTGAGTGATGGGACGGGAGGTGCAGAGATTGTGAGTGATGGGACGGGAGGTGCAGAGATTGTGAGTGATGGGACGGGAGGTGCAGAGATTGTGAGTGATGGGACGGGAGGTGCAGAGATTGTGAGTGATGGGACGGGAGGTGCAGAGATTGTGAGTGCTGGGACGGGAGGTGCAGAGATTGTGAGTGATGGGACGGGAGGTGCAGAGATTGTGAGTGATGGGACGGGAGGTGCAGAGATTGTGAGTGATGGGACGGGAGGTGCAGAGATTGTGAGTGATGGGACGGGAGGTGCAGAGATTGTGAGTGATGGGACGGGAGGTGCAGAGATTGTGAGTGCTGGGACGGGAGGTGCAGAGATTGTGAGTGATGGGACGGGAGGTGCAGAGATTGTGAGTGATGGGACGGGAGGTGCAGAGATTGTGAGTGCTGGGACGGGAGGTGCAGAGATTGTGAGTGATGGGACGGGAGGTGCAGAGATTGTGAGTGCTGGGACGGGAGGTGCAGAGATTGTGAGTGATGGGACGGGAGGTGCAGAGATTGTGAGTGCTGGGACGGGAGGTGCAGAGATTGTGAGTGCTGGGACGGGAGGTGCAGAGATTGTGAGTGCTGGGACGGGAGGTGCAGAGATTGTGAGTGCTGGGACGGGAGGTGCAGAGATTGTGAGTGCTGGGACGGGAGGTGCAGAGATTGTGAGTGCAAGGTGATGGGTAGTTTACACTCCCCTCACATCACTCGCACCTTGCATATGTTCCAAACCTACCACTCACCATGCACGGTCCCGGCTTTCAGTTGGTGTGCCCTTTTCGAGTCAGCAATGTTTACCGCCCAGAGACATTGCCTTTCCCCTCGACCCAATCTATCCATTCTTTGCGTTATGTGCAGGAATTCATTGGCATGGACAAGATTGTTGCGGCGCTGATACTGTACAGTGATGTCACGCACTTGAGCAACAATGGAAGGAAGAATGCGCACCCGGTCATGATGACACTGGGGAATATTGCATTCCCAAAACGCTGGGGGCGGCATGGGCACTCCCTGCTGGCGCTGTTACCCATCCCACCCTCGAATATGCCGTCGCACTTGAAGGTGGAGCTCAACAACGCGTGTATTGCTAAGCTACTTGAGCCACTTCTCCGCCTTAAAGACAAGTGAGTGGTGCAAATGCTGGTCTTTATCGAAACTTTATCTATTTGGTGAATCATGCCCCATAAAAGGAGTGCGGCACTTGGAAGTAATGAATATTGTTAACCTGCATGTGTTTTCACCCTGTGTCATGGCTGCCCGAAAACTGTGCAGTGGTGTCATGCTGCTGGACTCAGAAGGCATCGAGCGATGGGTTGTTCCTTTGCTTTACGCTTGGGCTTGTGACTATCCCGAGTCCGGGAAACTGACATACACCAAATCTGGCCAGGGCTGCATGAAGCCGTGCAGCCTCTGCTATGTCGACAGGGTACGTCAACATGTACACTCTGGGTGGGGATAAGCTAGGATGGGAGGTGCTGGGATGGGGATGGTGAGTGATAGTATGGTGAGTGATGGGATGGTGAGTGCTGGGATGGTGAGTGCTGGGACGGTGAGTGCTCGGATGCTGAGTGATAGTATGGTAAGTGATGGGATGGTTAGGGCTAGTATGCTGAGTGCAAGGATGGTGAGGGATGGGATGGTTAGTGCTGGGATGGTGAGTGCCCGGATGGTGAGTGCTGGGATGGTGAGTGCTGGGATGGTTAGTGCTGGGATGGTGAGTGCTGGGGTGGTTAGTGCTGGGATGGTGAGTGCTGGGATGGTGAGTGCTGGGATGGTGAGTGCTGGGATGGTGAGTGCTGGGATGGTGAGTGCTGGGAGGGTGAGTGCTGGGATGGTGAGTGATGGGATGGTTAGTGCTGGGATGGTGAGTGCTGGGATGGTGAGTGCTGGGACGGTGAGTGCTCGGATGCTGAGTGATAGTATGATGAGTGATGGGATGGTTAGGGCTGGGATGGTGAGTGCTAGGATGGTGAGGGATGGGATGGTTAGTGCTGGGATGGTGAGTGCTAGGATGGTGAGGGATGGGATGGTTAGTGCTGGGATGGTGAGTGCCCGGATGGTGAGTGCTGGGATGGTGAGTGCTGGGATGGTGAGTGCTGGGATGGTTAGTGCTGGGATGGTGAGTGCTGGGGTGGTTGGTGCTGGGATGGTGAGTGCTGGGATGGTGAGTGCTGGGATGGTGAGTGATGGGATGGTTAGTGCTGGGATGGTGAGTGCTGGGATGGTGAGTGCTGGGATGGTGAGTGCTGGGATGGTTAGTGCTGGGATGGTGAGTGATGGGATAGTGAGTGCTGGGATGGTGAGTGCGGGTATGGTGAGTGATGGGATGGTTAGTGCTGGGATGGTGAGTGCTGGGATGGTGAGTGCTGGGAGGGTGAGTGCTGGGATGGTGAGTGATGGGATGGTTAGTGCTGGGATGGTGAGTGCTGGGATGGTGAGTGCTGGGATGGTGAGTGCTGGGACGGTGAGTGCTCGGATGCTGAGTGCTAGGATGGTGAGTGATGGGATGGTTAGGGCTGGGATGGTGAGTGCTAGGATGGTGAGGGATGGGATGGTTAGTGCTGGGATGGTGAGTGCCCGGATGGTGAGTGCTGGGATGGTGAGTGCTGGGATGGTTAGTGCTGGGATGGTGAGTGCTGGGGTGGTTAGTGCTGGGATGGTGAGTGCTGGGATGGTGAGTGCTGGGATGGTGAGTGATGGGATGGTTAGTGCTGGGATGGTGAGTGCTGGGATGGTGAGTGCTGGGAGGGTGAGTGCTGGGATGGTGAGTGCTGTGATGGTGAGTGATGGGATGGTGAGTGCCCGGATGGTGAGTGCTGGGATGGTGAGTGATGGGATGGTGAGTGCCCGGATGGGGAGGGAGGGAGGTGCTGTGGTGGGGAGACGTAGGGCTGGGAAGTGCTGGGATTAGGAGTGCAAGCCTCGAACCCTCTGCGATGTCGACCGGGCATATAATCATGCCCCATCTGCAATCTTGGCTGTGAACATTTCATCTCTGTATATGTGTGTGTCTAACGGTCTCTCTTGCTCGTCCCCTTTATGCTAAAAATTCCAACGCCCACCACAGGAAAGACTGTCATCTCTGGAGCTACCCAACAACGTTCGCACACCCGCACAACAGCAATGGGTTAGAGACGAGGCAGCTGGAGTCCCTGCCGGAGCGGATGACAATCCGCTGAAGTTGTACTCAACGTTCGACATCGACGTAAGTATTTGATCCCATGGCAGCTGGAGTCGCCCAGTAGGCTCATAGACACAGCAACCTCTGGTGTCTATTGGTGTCGTGTGTTTCCCTAACCATCGCATTCCCTGCTGCGCTGTACCACCTGCACAGTGTGCTTTATGGAAGTGGCAGGTTGGTTCATTGCCGTGGGGAAATCCAATCCTAGCTGTCATGGCGGACATCATGCACCAGGCAGACCTGGGGATGCTGGACCACATCGTGCAATGCATCCGCACCCAACACCCAACGATGATGAAAATTCTGGATTTGTGAGTGCCCCTTGGACCACCCGCCTGGACATGCACGATGCTCTATTCAATAAACCATGGTTACAATGTTGGCATGTCAAGCCCACATTTGTGAGCACATGGTAGTGTGTCAGCTCAACTTATTCCATCCTGATCTGCTGCCCCCCACATCCGAAATCTTTCCATCCCACCATACGTAGGCGTCTTCTACGGCTCACCCTGAAAACACGGATCAACTCTTTGCGTTTTCCGAAGAGCGAATACTTCAAAACCGGGGCACAAGTCGCAGCTTTTGAACATCGATCGGTCATGCAGGTATGATGCTTTGAGGCCTAAACCATGGAGTGGTGGAAGGGGGAGGGTGGGAAGAGTGGGGCGAGCTGGGCAGGGACGGAAGAAGAAGGGGAGAGAAGATGGGCTGGTGGAGAGGGCACTGCTATGTTGATTCATGCAAATGTAGTGATGTGTTGGTCTGTTGTCAAGCTCGTCTGTAAACTCGCTTGAAGTCATTCATGGGAAGAAGATCCTTCAATCTTTTCTCTCACCTTTCCTACTCACCATGCTGCATGCATCCAGGTGATGATCTTTTTGGTGGCTGACGTTGTCGGCTCGCCCCAGCTGGAGGCCATCAGAGCATACCTTGACTGGTATCTCTACTGCAACGCCGCCTCTCACACCAAGAGAAGTCTTTCCGAACTACAAGCCAAATCAACAAGGTACCTCACCAAACGATACAACCTAAACCATCTAACTCCCCTAGCGATTCCATCCCTAACACATTGAACGCTTATCCATATACTCCTTCATTTATTCATGCTCCCACCCATCCCAGGCTCGTGAAACTACTCACGACTGCCTTCCCCGAGCAGAAATCAAAGTGAAACCTCATCAAAACACACTTGATGACTCATTTCATCCCTGGAATTCGACGAGCTGGGAATGTGCAAGAGTACAGCAGTAACCTCTTCGAACACCTGCATAGCACCCTGCTGAAGCAAATCTACAGGAGATCGAATAAGCGGAAAGTGGACACGCAGATCATGAAGCACCACGAGATGAAGCTTGACTCCATCAGCAACGTGGCCACCGACCAAGGCGTACAAACGGCTATGCAAAAGGTAGGTTATGTGAGAGGAGGTGCTGAGATGGTGAGTGCGGTGATGGGAGGGTGAGTGCTGAGATGGTGAGTGCGGTGATGGGAGGGTGAGTACTGAGATGGTGAGTGCGGTGATGGGAGGGTGAGTGCTGAGATGGTGAGTGCGGTGATGGGAGGGTGAGTGCTGAGATGGTGAGTGCGGTGATGGGAGGGTGAGTGCAGAGAAGGTGAGTGCGGTGATGGGAGGGTGAGTGCGGTGATGGGAGGGTGAGTGCTGAGATGGTGAGTGCGGTGATGGGAGGGTGAGTGCTGAGATGGTGAGTGCGGTGATGGGAGGGTGAGTGCTGAGATGGTGAGTGCGGTGATGGGAGGGTGAGTGCTGAGATGGTGAGTGTGGTGATGGGAGGGTGAGTGCTGAGATGGTGAGTGCGGTGATGGGAGGGTGAGTGCAGAGAAGGTGAGTGCGGTGAGTAGGAGTGCCTGGCGGGACAGCTCGGGCTGAGTGGCAAGGAAAGTTTGCCGGCAGGTCCTTGGTGGGTAGCAGGGGAAGAGTTAGCTCAAGGCAGGAGAGGGGGCAGTGAAATGAGGAAGTGCAGGGCAGAGAGTGGAGCAGGGGAAGGGGGAGAATGGTGTGCTCGTTGCTGCTGGTTGCTGTGATTCAGAGATTTGTTTCCAATCTCTGCCTTTTCTGACATGTGTCAGGCCATCGAGGATGGAGCTCGAGTGATGGTGAAGGAGTCCTACTTCTTCCCCGTGAAACCCGATGACGTCACTCCCATTGCCAACTGGTTTGTCCGTGAGTGGGCGAAGCTCCACAGCGAGGCACACCATGCCTTTGCGGGTGCATTGCTTCGACGCTAGCTGAGGCCAACAAAAGTTCGTGTAAGTTGTGACAATGGTGACATCAAGCAGATACCATATGTAACTGAATGTTATTTGTACTGATTTGTGTCTCTTACTGGTTGCAGGCTCACACAACACTTGCCATCCCTGCTGCAGAAGATTCTAGTTTCGCCCGTGTAGCACATTTCGTGAAAGCGACCCCGCTGTCTCACTCTAGGCCGTGGTTCTCTGATGTTGCCATCGTGGGAACAACAGCGACTAGTGCAGAGACAGAGTGGTACCGAAGGCTCTTGTTGCTTTTCCATACGAAAGAGAGGGGGTGCACGAAGGAGTGGGCATATGTAAAGTACTGGTCAAGCGCAGGTGAGGATGCGAAAACAGGGTGCAAACGTCTTAGGTGGGCAACTGGGGTATCGCGCTACTCAGTGATTGACACCGAAAGCATACTACGCCAGGTGCACATTATCAAGTCTTACCACAGCGACAATGCATTCTATCTTAACAAGTACCTGCTAAATTAGAAATAAATCATAAGCGCATCTGTACTTTTTTCATATACAACCAAACTGGTTTTGTAATAAGAGGCAAGATTACATGCAATAACAACTTATGACTTTACAGGTTATATATTTACATGCACATGTGATTGTTTAACCAGCAGCCTTTCAATATTATAAGACGGAATAATGACTTCATGTAAATTTTGTTTAAAATAAACACTGTAGGCTTATCTTGGTCCATAATTACTCCTATCCGAAACCAATTTTGCAGGGCCCAAACGCGCCCTATCGCCACGTCTGGTCGTGCGCCAAGCAAAGTTGTGGCTCGGTGACCCAGAAATGTTTGCGGGAAACCAACGCACCCCATTCTCGAAACTGCTATTTCAACCTGATCAAAAGAGAACTGTACACCTGACATTGACCGAAATTGGGCCAATTTCACTTCGCCGAGGCGCACAATGTCTCGCGAGTCGGTTCGGATGCGCGAAAGCAGATCGAAATTTGAGAACGACATATTTTCGCTGGTGGTTGGGCGAAAAAAGTTGGACAACCCACGCAACCCAACTTCTGAAACCAATTCGACCCGTTTCCAAGCGATTCAAAAGCGAGGGGTTTTTGTGATGATCAGGCTATGAAGATTTTTACCCTAGTGACATCAGGATTCGTTGTAAACTACTATGGTAACAATTCTGGCTACACTGGCAGTATCAGGGTACGGGCCCAATTACACTTCTACCGGACCTTTTTTTTTAACCGATGATTCCGCCACAGTGCGCGCCACCAACACAAAATTCACCACGGTCCTATTGGACCATTTGTATAGGCCCACTGGCGCGCCAACGTAGAAGCAGCGCGGCTGCATACGCACTGGTACGATTGGTCTGTTGAGCAACTTTTGTGCCAACGCTCCCGGGTTTAGGGCATTCCCGAAGCATCGCTCACTGCCAGCGGTGCCAAACAGCGTGCCAGGTGGGTTTCGTGTTGTCGTTTGCACCACATGGCAGTCATTGTTGTGTTGGAGCCAGGCCTGTCAAAGTTCCTAGGACCCATACTTGCGCTCCCCAGCTCCTCCCCATCTGACCCTGTTTTTGGTGTAGCTGAGCGTTTGGGCGCCCTTAACGGTCACGGGCGCACCCCAAAGTGAAAACTTAAAATCCGGGCCTGTGAAGAGTTTGCACTTAGACGCGAAGGGAAATTTTGGGTGCTCTAAAGCTGACTTTCAAACACGGGATGGCTAGAAAACGCTAAGGGAAAAATCCACTCCTCTCATGCATCCTCAGGAGAAAGGGGGGGGGGGGGGGGGGATTAAAGACGCTAAGGGAAAATTCGGGTGCTCCAAGCTTACTTAGACACTTTACTAATGCAGGATGGCTAGAAAATGTTAGGGGAAAAATCCACTCCTCTCGTGCAACCTAAGGAGAAAGGGGGGGGGGCGGGGGGGGACACTCAGACGCTAAGGGGATATTCGGGTGCTCCAAGCTGGCTTAGAAAACGCTAAGGGAAAATCCACTCCTCTCGTGCAACCCCAGGAAGAAAGGGGGGGGGGGGGACACTTAGACAATAAGGGACAATTCGGGTGCTCCAAGCTGGCTTAGACGCTTTACAAACACAGGATTGGCTAGAAAACGCTAAGGGAAAAATCCACTCCTCTCGTGCAACCTAAGGAGAAAGTGGGTGAGGTCAGGCAAATTTGGGGGGGTAGTGGGTCCTACAACCAGAAACCAAAACTTCGAGACAGGGGAAGGCCTGGTTTGGGCCCTTAACGCATCCGGGGAAGGGTCGAGCGCGGCACTTAGTGGCACGGGTGCAGTGCGAATCTAGCACTTTTGGCAGTCGAGCTGGAGCAAAAGTAGCCCGGAATGTTCAGGGCATTAAGGGCATATGCCCTTGAATCGACAGGCCTGGTTGGAGCCTTTGCAATGTAGTTCCCGTGGTGCGTGGAGACCGTGCAGCTTGAGGCTTCTTTGTCTTTGTGATTTCCAAGGGGTCTCTCAGCATCTCGCCATTCTCTCACTTTTCTCACGTTCGTCGTTCTCACACATTTTAATGTGCACGGACTGCTTGCAGAATATAAAATTTTGTGAAAGGAACAGTGTATTGGAAAAAATACCCTGCTGAATTCAGTGTACCAGAAATTTTACCGGTAGGCTGCTGTAAACAGTGTACGGAAAAAATTCCCCTAACAGTCAGGGTATGGGGGGCCAGCAACCCTGATTTGAAAGCGTGACCCTAAACCTATTTTGGGCCCTACTTGTCACCACGTGTCTCTGTTAAGAACTAAGGCAAGAATGATGAGATTAGGTCAAGGTTGGGGTACAAAGCTAGAGTATCGAGAAAGTTTATGTACCCCCTAAGGCTAGCCCCAATATAGCCTAGATAATGATATGCATATGTTTTGACACACCCCCATAGGCGAAATGGGGGATAGCCAGAGCAAGCAATGGTCACAAGACCAGTCAAGAGAAGAAACAAAACACAGCTCAGGGTGGATCACAACGTCACCACACACACTGAGCACAAGCAAACGGCCACAAGGCCAGTCCACATGCAGAGGTATATAAGCAACAAGAACAGCACAGTGATCTCTAGCTAGCAAGAGCAAGCATGCAGGTATATATATATAGATAAGAGTACAAGTAGAGACTACAGCAAGTGTGGAAACGTAGGCACAAGGCCCAACAAAGTACAAAAGCGCAGATGGTCACCAGACGGAAGTGCCTTGGTGAATACATCAGCAGTGTTGGCCCGAGTGGCCACGTGAGCAAGGCGAATCTGACCCTGCTATTGCAAATCTCGAGCCAGGAAGTAACGCAGAGCGATGTGCTTCATTCTGTGCTCCAGTCTGTGCTCCTGACACAAGGTAATGGCGGCCTTGTTGTCTACGTACCAAACTGGAGGAGAACGAGGCCGCTCTCCCAAGTCAGTCAGCAGGTAGGTGAGCCAGCGTAACTCCTGTGCAGCCATGGCGGTGGCGTAGATCTCAGCCTCACAACTAGAGCTGAGAACATGTTGTGCCAACACATTACAGTGGCACGGTCATCGCACTCCCATTCGGCCTACAAGCCTGCACAGCTTCTGGAATTTTGTGGGGAGGTTTTTCAACATGTGTTCTTCAAACCCTCAAAGTTTCAGAGTTTTTGAAGCAGTTACCAAGGCGTGACAACATTTTATGTTTCAAGACTTATGACATCCCGGAAGTGTGTGTTACTCCTTTTTGGTAACACCCGAGTTCACCATTTCGGCTGCTGACTCGTCTACCAAGCTTTGATTGGTTGGA